GAGAGGAAGGGGGAGAGAGAGAAACATCGATTAGTTGTTCCACTTATTGATGCAGTCATCGGTAGCTTCTTGTATGTGCCCTGACCGGGGATCGAACCTGCAACCTGGCGTATCAGGACTTTGCTCTAAGCAACTGAACCACTGGCCAGGGACCCACCATTGTTGATTCATCAGCTGTAAGTCTGGTTGAATACTCTTCTGGTCAAAGGCTTTGTGTAGGAACACCACTCTGTGGCCTTAAAAGAAAAAATGAGCACGCTCTCCAAAGCATACTGTTAAGTGCAAAAAGCAAAATATAAAAAACTATGGGTCTAGCATGCTACCACTTATGGAGTAAACAAAAGCTCGGGAGAAGGGTATATACAGGGAGAGGAGACAACCTGTGTAAACACAGACCATCTTCAGAAGGAGACCAGGAAACTGGTCTCAGGGGCTTCTTAGTGACAAGTTTATAGTCACCTGTTGATGGACACTTGGGCTGTCACTTTTTAGCTATTGTGAATAATTCTGCTATGACTATTGGTGTACAAGCATCTGTAATGAACATGAGGGTGCAGATATCCCTTCAAGACAGTGATTTTATTTCCTTTGGATACATACCCAGAAGTGGAATTGCTCCACCCTAGGGTAGTTCTATGTTTCATTTCTGAAGAACCATCACCCTGTTTTCCATAGTGGCTGGATCATTTTACATTCCCACCAACAGTGTGTACGGTTCCAGCGTCTCCACATCTTTGTGCGTACGCTTTCATACCTTGCAATTTGGTTGATATCAACGTATTACTTGTTCAAATAATACGTTAAATATTTAAAAAGATATACTGTGTTAAAGAGGTTAGGCTGGGTGAGTGGGGGGCAGAACAACACGGATGAAACAAAAAGCAGCCCAGGGTGGCGATCTCTCTGGCCCCTTCCTACTTGGAAACGCCCTGGCTGTAGGAACGGAACTTGGAGTTTCCTTGAGCCTGCTCTGCCCCTTGAAGACGTGGTGCTCAGACCCACCAGGCTGCACACTGCTTTCAGCTACAGGAGTTCATGCAAAGGTGGGAAAACTCAGGCCTTCCACAGCAGGTGCACCAGAGGTCGGCTTCCCGCCCAAATAGGTCGTTAGCAACGCTGAGTCAAGCCTCAGCCAGCGTCTGATGCTGCTCACGCCCAGGTATGGCTCCAGGGGACTGTAAAGAGCACACTCCTTGGAAACTGGAACACACTCCGGCCATCAGCTTTGATCTGCACCCTGGGAGCACGCTAGGCCGGGAGCCGGTTCCTCTGCTCCAAGGATGCTGGGCCGACCGCATCCCACTGCGGCCTCCTCTAATTTCAAAACCACTCGAAGACTTTTGGGCCTTCCTCGCCTTGGCAGAGCCAACTTGTCATTGTCAGCACACCTCTGGTCACACCTTCCCATTAATGCCACTGGGGGTTTGGCAGGTGGAGATCAAAGCAGGAGGAGTTTTTCATTAATCAGAACAGAAAGATTAAGGAGAGTGTATTTGCAGATTTAAAAAAATCACAACCTATGTAAGTTATATAGGTATTTCAAAATCAGCAGCTTATGCCTAAAGCCAGAGAAGGTTAGAAAGAACTACATCAACAAAAATGAATCAAAGTGTGTTTCTCTGAGTGAATTGTTTGGCAAGGCTATTGTGATATTTGTATCCTGCTAGATCAAATATTTTATTTTCCTAAAGAATATTTAAATGTAACCTTAGGAGTCTCTGGCTCACCCAGAATCATGAGTCACGCTTAGAATCCTGCCCAGAATTTCAAACACGGTCTTGTGGGTGTCACAATGCAAGACAAGAAAAAGAGAGAGGTGCCACTCTCCAGTGCCTACCTGTGTAAAACCATCCAATCAGTTCTGACTTTTCAGCGGGGAGAAGTTATGCAGGCCAGTTCTATAGGGTGACATTGAAAAGCAGGGTAATGAGAGGACGGGGGCTCAGGACAGGCCTCTGTGAAGAGGGCAGAGTTGAGCCGAGATCTGAATGACACATTGACATGTGGGAGTCAGACTTAAAAAGACCTGGGGACTGACTGTTTCAGGTGGAGAAAACTATAAAGTGGCATTCAGAATTTGGAAGTTCATTTGACGGCAAACAGAAGTCACATTCCCCATGATCAGTTCTTACCAGGGATACAGTAACACTAGAGCTTCCATCTCTCTCTCTCTTTCTCTTGGGGTAGGGGTGGTGCTAGTTACTGGGCTCCCACAGCAGAAGTGGGCAAGACACTTGCATTCTAGTGTGGAGGGACAGGCAGAAAAACAAGAAATAAACAAAATTATCTCAGAAAGAGACAAATGCTATGAAGAAAATAAAGCGGCATGATGGGCGAGAGAGCTGGGGCACAGGGCAGGCCTCTCTGAGGAGGGGGATATGGAGCTGAGACCTGATTGACCCTGCAGGGCTCCACTGGACAAGCTCTGGGGGCAGAGCACTCCAGGTGGAGGGAACTGTAAGTGCAAAGGTCCTGAGATGAGACCCTACTTTGGGTGACTCACAGATACCAGAGCTCTGAAGGCCAAGTTAGGAGTTTGGCTTTCATTCAGTGTGTCACGGGAAGTCACTGGAGGATTTTAGGCATGAGAGCGACATAATCTTCTATCTTGATTAAAAAAAGTGTTTTAAATCTACTTCTCAGGGGCATAATTTACATACAATAAAATTACTTATTTTAAATGTACTGTTTGATGAGTTTTGACAGACGTACACGTCTATGTAAACACTACCTCAAACAAAATATGTGATATTCCTTCACCCCCAAAAGTTCCCTCATGCCCCTTTAGAGTCAGTCTTTCCTCCCATGGCCACCCCAAGCCAGTCCTAGGCGAGAGTTCCTGTAGACCCTTCATCCATCTTCTGCTAATGTTACCATCTTATATGACCACAGTACAAAGATTAACATTGGGGCAGCGTTGCTAACCAAACTATGAACTCCAATCACATTGCACCAGTTCTCACGAAGGTCCTATTTCTGTTCCGAGATCCCATCCAGGATTGCATTTACTAATCATGTCCCCTTAATCTCTTCTACCCTGTGCCTGTTTCTCAGGTTTTCCTTGTTTTTCATGATCTTGGCAGTTTTGAGAAATACTCGTCAGGTATTTTGCAAAATATCCCTCATTTTGGGTTTATCCGACGTTTTCTCATGATGAGACAGGGTTTTATGGGCTTTGGGTGAAGTGCTCTGCATGATCACATGACTTCCCACTGGTGACGTCAGTCTTAATCCCATGGTTAAATGTGTGTGCCTGGTTTCTGCCCTATAGCGTTACTATTTTTTCCTGCATTTATAGGAATCATATTGTATTATATATTGCTAAACTGTAATTAGATTACATGTAATCTGATTACATAATAGTATTACTTTATATTATATAAAAATTACTATCTTTCATACTGTACTCTTTAGAAGCAAGTCACAAGCTGCAGCCCACCCTCAAAAGGGGCCGGCAGTTGAGCCCTGCTTCCTGGAGGGGATTATTTACATGCGTTATTTGGAATTCTGTAGGGAAAATTTGTCCCTTGTGTCTCATTTATTTATCTACTCAATCATTTATTCATAGAGAAAAATTTTTTCAAGATGGCAGAAATGACAGCATATTTGTATGTTGATGGAAATGATCCAATAGAGGGTGAAACACTATGTAAGTGTCCTTGGTTTCTTCAGTCAGAACCAAAAATTTTTTTCACTTTTAGAATTTCCACCAGGAGTTTTATTATGTTTTCTTGTTAATCTTCATAGTATATTTTATTTAACTCAACATATCAAAATATTATAATTTATCATTTTAAAAATATAAGCAATATAAAATATCAACCAGATGGTTACAATTATTTTCATATAAATTCTTCAAAATCCAGTGTATATTTTGCACTTACAACTTACCTCCTTTGGAACTAGCCACATTTCAGGTTCTCAGTTGCCACAGGTGACACATTGTTACCACCCAGGAGGCCACAGCTCTAGACTTTTCTGAGACCAACACAAGGCAGAGTGCCACCCTGGTGAGCGTGCCCTTCATTTTTGGTCTCTAATCGGATCATCTTCATTGTGATTCTATGGCTATGATTCCTGAGAGCTCCTGTTCAGGAAGCACCTTGATATCTAACTTTCGAGGTGCCAGTTTTAGATACTGATAAAACTGTAGTGGTGCCCTGGCTGGTTTGGCTCAGTGGTTAGAGTGTCAGCCCTCAAACCAAAGGGTTGTGGGTTCAATTCCCGCTCAAGGGCACATACCTGGGTTGCAGGTTCGATCCCCAGCCCCAGTTGGGGCATGTGCGGGAGGCAACCAATCGATGTATCTCTTTCATACCCATGTATCTCTCTCTCTCTCTCCTTCTCACCCCTCCCTCCCTTCCACTCTCTCTAAAAAATCAATGCAAAAAATATCCTCAGGTAAGGATTAACAAAACAAACAAACAAAAAACCTGCAGTGGTCACAGCAATTCTCCTTTCCCCAGCATGGCAATTTCATAGTCATGTGCTCATTTTATTGTCTCTTCATGGTGCCTTTCATGCGGATCCTTCTCTGTGCTTTCCTTTGACTTTTTAAAAAAATTCAGCTTATTCTGAGATATTATAGATGTACATAGTTATAAGAAATAATGCAGAGATATCTCATGTACCTTTACTCAGTTTCTCATAATGGTAACATCTTGTAAAAGACCTGCTCCAGCTGGCTGCCCAGCCCACCCCTCAGAGGTCAACCCTGTGACTGTTGGAGGCCTTCTGTCCTGGGGGGTCCTCTCACCCACCTTCCCTCCAAGCCTTTAGTCCAGCGTCCTAAGGTGCTTAACCTCCATTCTTTATACCTGCACTCCCTCTAGTGGGGGTGCTTTGCCTCTGCAAAATGAAGGCAAGGAACCAGAGGGGCAGGCAGCAGGTATGGAGTAAGTCAGCATCTAAATTCTTGGTCTCACCTGGCTCCCACCAGACCTTGACTAGCTAGGTTGGTTTTTCCCACCCCAGGGCTGAGAGGAAACCTGGAACAATGCTAACAAAAAAAAAGAAAAGACACCAGGTTTATTACAATAGCAACCCCAACAAGTCAAAGGCAGCCTTTTCACCTAGAGGTAATAATGATAATAAATTAGTAATACTAACCATTTATGGGAGCTCTTATTAAGTGCCAGGCATAGCTTTAAGTGCTTTATTTATACTAGCTTGTATAATTCTCACAACAACACTCCCCAGAAGTTCATTGCAGGACACAGTAGTGCTGTGGTTAGTAGCTCAGGCGACCACCTGGGTTTGCCATCCTGGTCCTGCCGCTTACCAGCTGTGTGGCCTTGTGCTTATGTTATTTAACCTCTCAATCTTCTCTCTTGTAGAATGGGTGTGACGACAGGATCTTCCCCAAAGGGTGGCTGTGAGGATAGACTGAGTTAGTGTGTGTGTCAAGAACGCACAGAGAAGGCGCCCAGTAAATGTGTTAGGATTAAATGATGGGCCCAAGACTCAGTGAGTGACTGACTGGGGAGGAATTTGAATCCAGATCTACGTGCTGTTGAGGCCTGCGTGCTTACCCACTATGCAAGGTTGAAGGGCAGAAGGACAGATCCAGGGCAATTTCCATTGCAGGACTGGTCAGGGAACTGCTACAGGACTGTGGGTCTAGACAGGGGACAGAAGAGGAAATGAGGCAGAAAGGGGCTGGGAGAACTCAGACACAAGGCCTATCCGGCCATTGGTTCAGGTCTTACCTTCCACTAACGCCCTCAAATTTAGTCTTTATACATTATCCCCAAAGAGGTTACAACTAGTCACAGACATTGCTCGTCTGTACAGCTGTATTTACAAAATGTAATTATCAACAATATTCTAGAGGTCATCTTTTAAGACCTATCTACAGCAGCTGACATAGTCATGTTCCTCCTGACAACCCTCTCTTCACTTGGCTTCAGGACACTGTACTCTCTTGGTCCTGCTTCCTCAATGGCTGCTGCTTCTGTCTCCTCTGTTGGTTCTGTGAATGAAAAAGGGGCTACCTAGGAGCCCTGACAAACTCAGGCAGCCACATGGCAGGCCTGACAAGCTCAGTGATGGAACATAACCTCACAGGATGGTCTGATAATAAATTCCTAACTGGGCAGGCCACGGTGGGTAGCTACATCCCAGGCCCATAGCTTCTTGAGCAAAGGTCAGTCTTAACCTTGAGCGAGCCCTGTCCATTGCTCTTATGTGTCTAGGATAAAGGACCTTTAAAATGTTAGAGTAATTTCCCCCCCAGACCCTTCAGAATCACAACTGCAGGCACCAGAGCACAGAGACCAGGAAACTCCTCCCTGTTATCTTGTGGCCCACATGCCATCTCTGCAGTGCTATAAATGCTCAGTGTTAGCGATCCTGCACCCACCTATGAAAAAGAAGTGTTTCTCCGTTTGGCTTTTTATACAGTCCTGGAGATGTCCTCGCTTTGCTTTCTCCTGCCTCTTTAATCGACCAACGATGGAGTTCAGGTAACCTTCCTTATGTTTTTCTCCTTTGATTCCAAATGTATAAAATGAACTGCAAACAAATAAAACAAAAAAATAAAATGAGCTGCGTAACAGCCATTCTCCAGAGCATTTTTTCAATCTGTTGAGATGTTGCTTCTGGTCATGTCCTCAAAACATTGGCGTAAATGAATTCCTACACAATCTCCTGTTGGTTTGGATGCTCTTACCTTGCCAGTTCCTACTCACGCCATCCCTTGCTCCTAAGTGTCTGTGTCTGGAAACCCCTGAATCCCTCGGCTGCAACACCCTGCCTCAAGGCTGGCTCCCTCACTTCCTTGGAGACCTCACTTTCTCAGTGAGGTCTCTTCCCTACCATCTACTTAGAACCGCACATCCTTTAACCCTCACTCCCTCTAGAAGTTCAATGAAGTAAATTTGAAGATCTAATTGGCTTTATTGAGCTATTCGTGAATCCCGCAGCATCCCACTGAACAAACAAAAGTTGTACAAAACGGAAAGTTTAGTGCTAGAAGGAGAAGCCCCGGGGGTGCGCTGGTTCGGGCACGGCCCCCGCAGACTCGTTAGCAGCGAAATTAAGGAGCATAAGTTGCAGCAGCAAAACACGTGCCTCGGTCGCATAGAACCAATTTCAGGTTCTGCCCGGGAAGAGGCTCGACTGCGCAGCCGCAGGAACTGGGCGGAGCCTGCGCAGCCGCACAAGAAGCTGGGCGGGCCTGCGCAACCGTAGAAGCAGCTGGCGGCCGGGACGTGGGGGCTGCACGGAGCCCCGCTGTTCCGCGCCCGGCCTGAGGCAGCCGGAGCCGAGTGGGTCTGACCCCTGCGCCCCTCACAGCAGCGGGGGAGACCGGCTCCGCCGCCGCGGCCTCGGGCCACCAGCCGCCCTCCCCACAGCCGCCGCCATCATGCTCCTGCCCGTGTTCACCCTGAAACTGCGCCACAAAATCATCCCCCGCATGGTGGCCGTGGGGCGCTACGACGGGACGCACCCGTGCCTGGCGGCCGCCACCCAAGCGGGCAAGGTAACGGTTCCCGCCTGCCCTGGGCCCGGGCTCCTGGAGTCCGGGGCTCCCCGGGGGCCGCGCCCCTCGGCCCCGCCCCTCGTTCCTCGGCCCCGCCCCCAGCCGGGGTTGCCCGGCAACCGGTCGTAGCCATCCTGTAGTTCTAAATCCCGCGCAGAATAATGAACAATGGGGTTTCGCACGAGTGGCTTTTCGGAGCAGTTAACTTTGCCTTCAAGCACTTAGACTCGGACAGAGTTGAAGTCCCTGTGCACTGAGGGAGCTTAGGAAAGAGCAGCCCGCAGGAGGGGCCAGGGGCTGGCCAGAGTTAGCAGCGGTAGCAGACCTCAGATTCGGGCCCAGGAGTCACTCTGAACGCCTCACACTATCTCAGACTGCCTCGAGCCAAACAACTTGACGAAAAAGAAAGAATACAAACGAAATGATTCAGATTGCACTTGTGATCTGTATCCATGTACATTCACATCTTTTCCTGTAACTTATTCACGAAGTACCTACTACGTGTTTACTGTGTGCCAGGTGCTGTGCAAGGTGTGGGAGTCACAGGGATGAAAAAGACGTGATCATTCAACAGTCACCAGACTTTTACTGAACACCTCCTCTGTGTTAGATGTTGAGGATTTAAAGATGAAGCTGGAGTCCCTACTTTCTGAAAGCTTATTGTCCAGAAGGACAACAGACAAGGCAAATCAAGGCACTGTGTATTGATGGAGGCTTGCCTCAGATACATGGAATACAGTGACACCAAGGGCAATAGCTTCTGACAGTTACAAAAGCTTATTATTACATCACCTATCTCGGCATTCTTGCAACAATGCCAAGGGCAGCGGCATAGCGCAGGTGTATTGGATCCTGGCTCTGGTACCTACTAATTTCATGACCTTGGGCCAAGTACTTAATAATAGTATCTACCACACAGGGTTGTTATGAAGACTAAATAAGTTAATATGAATCAGTTGGCGTATAAGAAATGTTCACTAATTGTTAGCTGTTATTTTTTACTACTCCCACTTGACTGACTAGCGGTTTTGAGAGGCTCAAAGTAATACCTGAGGTCACTCAACCAGAAAGTCATGGAAATGAGATTAGAGTCCCATGTTCTCTGACACAGTCCAGATTTAATAATGATTAAAACATTTATATAATGATTTATAGTTTTCAAAACACTTCCACCTATGTTGTATGTTATTTCATGCCTTGAGATACACGATTAAGAAATAATCATTTTCATTAAGTAGTTTAATGGAGAAAAGCGCTTAGCACAGGCTCTGGCACATAATGATGTTAGTTGTTATTGTTAAGAAGCGCTGACAAATGCCAGAAGTTCATATTGGTTCTGTTGTAGGTGCATAGCAGTTAAATAAATGGGCTGGAAAGGGCCCATTAATAGTAGCTCAGCCGCTAATCTATTGAGGTCTTACTATGTGCTAGGCACTCTTCTTAGCTCTGCAGGTGCAAGGGTGACTGTGACAGTCAAGTCTCATCCCCTTAGAGCTTACATTTGAGAGCGGGAGCCAGACAATTAAAGGGCAAATGTATTTTTATATCTAAGATCTCCCCCATCCCAACCCCAGTCACCCCTCTTGGGAGTGATATCACCCCCTTGAGAATGCACATTCTAGTCCAAACCTTTTTACAGATGAAGCCCAAGGCAATTGAATGATTTGTGCAGACACTCTGACAGTTATATTTATGATCGTTGAAACTGCTAAATAAATAAACTTTGGGCTGATTATTTAATTCTATCTTACTAGTATAGAATGAAAGCTTTCAAGAAGCTTGATTTTTATGACTCAATTTAAGTTTGTAAAACAGATTTGCTAACTACCAGACTGTTTTTTTTGTTTTTGTTTTTAACATTTCTTTATTGATTTCAGAGAGAGGAAAGGAGAGGGAGAGAGAGATATAGAAACATCAATGATGAGAGAGTCATTGATCAGCTGCAGCCTGCAACCCGGGCATGTGCCCTGACCAGGAATCGAACCCTGATCTCCTGGATCCTAGGTCGATGCTCAACCGCTGAGCCATGCCAGGCCAGGCTACCAGACTGTTTTAAGGGTTAGGAAGTGAACTCATTAGGTGTTTGGATGAAAGGTACTAAAGGAAGTGTTTATTATTCTATTTGCTGGGATGGTTTTGGTGTGTAGCAATCATTATGGCTGGTAGCAGCTTCCTTTATAGGCTGATCTGAAAAAGGCTGGCTTGCCAGAGTGCTTTGACAGCCTGCTGGTGGGTAGCATGTAAGCTGCCCTGATAAGCAGCAACTAGACCTTGTCCATTACCCTGTTCTTTGCAAGGCCAAGAACCACGGATTCCCACAATTCAGTCATTGAAAGCCAGCCATGCACAGAACTGTGTTACGGGTGTTTTAAGTAAGTTTCATAGGTAATTAAACTGACTTCTTGTTAATGTTGATATCTGTTTATAACCTCAGTCTTTAAAAATGTATTTTAATTTTACATTTTTGGTATTTTAAGGGAATGTAATTAACTGGTTTTGTTTTAGGTTTTTATTCACAATCCTCATACACGGAGCCAGCATTTCAGTGTGCCCAGGGTCTTCCAGAGCCCCCTGGAGTCTGATGTTTCTCTTCTCAACATTAACCAAGCTGTCAGCTGCCTGACTGCAGGAGTATTGAATCCTGAACTTAGCTATGATGCTCTTTTAGTGGGGACACAGACTAATCTTTTGGCTTATGATGTCTACAATAATTCAGATTTTTTCTACAGAGAGGCAAGTATATCTTTATAACAGTAAAATTCCCATTACCCATTAATGTTCATTTTTGTTATGCTTGAATGAGATCAGACATTTATTTTGGCTGTATTATGTGGTTGTTGTACTGTAGTTAAACAACATGGTGATTTTTCCATTTGCATTTGCTTTATCCACTTCACATTTAATTGGTCATGGTTACTAACCGCTTTCATTTTGCATTTCCCTTGTGAACAGGGATGTAGAATACCTTTTCCTGTGCTTATTGCCTATTTATATGTCTTTTGTGAAGTGTTATAGTCTTTTACCTATTTATATGTTGGTAGTTTGTGTGTATTTTTGATTTGTAGATGTTCTTTGGATATAGTGGATACAAGTTCTCTGTCAGATTTATATGCAATGAATATTTTCTCCTAGTATGTGGCTTATTCCAACAGGTAGGTGCCTTTTAATGAGTAAAAGTTTTCAGTTTTGATGAACCCCAGCTGATCAATTTTTTTCTTGAATGGTTAGTGCTTTTCCTGCCCTTCTAAGAAATCTTTGGTCACATAGATACGCTTCCTATGTTATTGTACAATACTGGAATTGAGTTTAGGACTGTATTAGTCAGGGTTCTCCAGATAAACAAAATTACTAAGGATGTGTATATTTAGAGAGAGGGGTGGGGAGGGATATATTTTAAAGAATTGGTTCACACGGTTGTGGAGACTGGCAAGTCCAAAATTTGCAGGGTCGGCTAGCAGGCTGGAGGCCCAGGGGAGTTGATGTTGAAACTCAAGACTGAAGGCAGTCTGGTGGCAGAATTCTTCCTTCCTCAGGGGCCAGTCTTTTTTCTATTAAGGTCTTCAGCTGACTGGATGAGACCCACCCACATTATAGAGAGTAATCTGCATTTCTCAAAGGCTATGGATTTAAAGGTTAATCTCATCTAAAAAATATCTTCACAGAAGCATCTAGAATAATATTTGGCTGAATATCCTAGAGAGCCTTGGACTTTGTAGCAGTTTATTGTAGCAGATTAGTGTGTGATGCCTAAGGCCTGAGTGTACCCTGGATCTTCGCTCATCCTTGCATCAGCACATGTTTGCCACAGGGACTGTCCTCAGGGGACCTGCTTCTCAAGAGACCATGTGGCTTCTCACAGTTGATGACGGAGGAATTTGAGTATCCAAATAAAGAGAAGGATTCATGTTAAGTCCAGGGTGCCTATGCGTCCTTATCTGAGATTTTATATCTTTTTTCTTCTTAGGTGGCAGATGGGGCCAATGCAGTTGTGTTGGGGACATTGGGAGACATTTCCTCTCCTCTTGCAATTATTGGTGGAAATTGTGCTCTGCAGGGCTTTGATCATGAAGGAAATGATCTCTTTTGGACGGTATGAAGATGAAAACACTCTTTAGTACTCTTAAACATTTTCACTTTTAATGTTCTTTATTTTAAGTTTTGTTCTTTTCCATTGACTGTAATGAATAGAGAAAACAAAATGAAACCATGTTTATAAT